ATTGCACTACAGTCTGGATGACAGAGTGAGATCCTGTCTCAAAAAAAAAAAAAAAAAAAAAAAAAGAGAGAAAGAGAAAGGAAATTGACTTTTTCCCATAGCCTTGCACCCCGCAGATCCTTAGGCCCAGCCCTCCTCTATGCCAAGGGAGGGTGCAGGGCAGTACTGCGGTATTCAGCAGAGACAGACTGGGAGATGCCACCAGAGCAAGCAGAGGCTGCCTCCGTGTCTCCGCAGCGTGGCCTCCTCGTCACAGAACTCACGCAGGTGGTGCTCGCAGCCCAGCCCCACCCACCGCAGGTGTGCAGGCATGGAAGTCATTCCTTCCACACACCGCCCTTCCACCTGGACTTCCCCCCGACGCCCCCATCCAAGCCCACGTGTCCCAGTCTTGGAGACTCACCGAGGCAAAGCAGGGAGAGGAATTCTGTGGTCATAGTGACCCTTCTGCCAGAACCAATACCCAGCGTTTGGCTTTACCCTTCAGAGGTGGAGCGGGACTGGGGTGGCCGTGGCGCTCTCGCTACTGCTTCGTCCCCAGGGTGTGTAGGTGGAGAGGCTTCGCCCTGACGCTCTGGTTCTCTGCTTATCCGCCCCAGTTTCCTTCTCACAACCGACTTAGGAGACAAGAAACCGTCGATGACAACATCTTCCCCATGAGTCCTCTGTGTGTAGCCCCACCCGCCTGAGCTGAGCCCTGCCTTATCTCAGGTTCTGCCAAGACTTTTCTGTAAATGTAGTTTTTATTTTAAAACATTAATGGGCCGGGCGCGGTGGCTCACACCTGTAATCCCAGCACTTTGGGAGGCTGAGGTGGGTGGATCACGAGGTCAAGAGATCGAGACCATCCTGGTCAACATGGTGAAACCCCGTCTCTACTAAAAATACAAAAAATTACCTGGGCATGGTGGCGCGTGCCTGTAATCCCAGCTACTCAGGAGGATGAGGCAGGAGAATTGCCTGAACCCAAGAGGCGGAGGTTGCGGTGAGCCGAGATCGCGCCATTGCACTCCAGCCTGGGTAACAAGAGCAAAACTCCGTCTCAAAAAGAAAAAAAAGAAAAACAAAAACAAAAAACATTAATGCCCATAGCTTTCTGTGTACCCACTAGGCAGCTCCCCACAAAGGTAATTTTTTTTTTTTTTTTTTGGAGACAGAGTCTCACTCCGTCACCCAGGCTGGAGTGCAGTGGCGCAATCTCAGCTCACTGAAACCTCTGCCTCCCAGGTTCAAGGATTCTGCTGCCTCAGACTTCTAAGTAGCTGGGATTACAAGCATGCACTACCACACCTAGCTAATTTTTTGTATTTTTAATAGAAACAGGATTTCACCATGTGAGCCAGGCTGGTCTTGAACTCCTGGCCTCAAGTGATCTGCCCACCGCAACCTCCCAAAGTGCTGGGATTACAGGCCTGAGCCACTGCACCTGGCCAATGGTAATCTCTTATAACTCTAATACCTATTCTTTTCTTTCTTGCTTGCTTGTTTTTTGTTTTTTGGTTTTTTGGTTTTTTTTTTTTTTTTTTGAGACAGAATCTCTCTCTGTTGCCCAGGCTGGAGTTCACTGGTGTGATCTTGGCTCACTGCTACCTCTGCCTCCCGGGTTCAAGTGATTCTCCTGTGTTAGTCTCCCAAGTAGCTGGGGTGACAGGCCCGCCACCATGCCTAACTAAATTTTTTGTTCTTTTTAGTAGAAACGAGGTTTTGCCATGTTGGCCAGGCTGGTCTCAAACTCCTGACCTCAGGTGATCTACCTGCCTCAGCCTCTCAAAGTGCTGGGATTAGAGGCGTGAGCCACTGCGACCGGTGTATGGTATATTTTCAATACCAGGAGCGAGATTACATCTCAAAAAAAAAGAAAGAAAAGAATCCGGCCAGGGCACAGTGACTGTAATCCCAGCACTCTGGAAGGCCGAGGCAGATGGATCACTTCAAGTCAGGAGTTTGAGACCAGCCTGGCCAACATGGCAAAACCCGATCTCTACTAAAAATTACGCTGGGCACAGTGGCTCACACCTGTAATCCCAAAACTTTAGGAGGCCAAGGTGGGCGGATCATGAAGTCAGAAATTCAAGACCAGCCTGACCAACATGGTGAAACCCCGCCTCTACTAAAAATACAAAAATTAACCAGGCATGATGGCACATGCCTAGAATCCCAGCTACTCAGGAGGCTGAGCCAGGAGAATCACTTGAACCTGGAAGGCAGAGGTTGCAGTGAGCCAAGATCACTGTACTCCAGCCTGAGCAACAGAGCGAGACTTTGCCTCAAAAAAAAAATAAACAAATTAGCTGGATATGAGTAGCGAGTGCCTGTAATGCCAGCTGCTTGGGAGGCTGAGACAGGAAAATCTCTTGAATCCGGGAGGTGGAGGTTGCAGTGAGCCGAGATGGTACCACTGCACTCCAGCCTGGGTGACATGGGGATAACCCAATGATAAATGGACAAAGTATCGAATCAGTAATTTCTCAGAAATATAAACATATATTAGATTTAATATTTTATTATATATATATATATATATATATATATATATAGCCATTAGCATGTGAGCAAAGACGCTCAACAACATATGCTCTCAGGAAAATGCAAAATGAAGCCACACTGATCAAAGAACAGAATAGAACAAGAATCACAGAAACAGGTCCCCTCATACATGGACTTTGGTTTATGATCAAGGGCATGCAATATCAGTAGAGAAAAGATAGATTGTATTTTTTTTTTTAAGAGACGACGTCTCGCTGTGTTGCCCAGGCTGGAGGGCAGTGGCTATTCACAGGCACGATCCCACTACTGATCGGCATGCACTGACCCTCAGAGGGTATCCCTCCTTCTCAGACGGCCCCGCCAAATCCCACTTTCATCTGCCACTTCCTGTTTTCTAGACAGCAGTCTGCTGTACTTTAAAATTTTAATTGAACTTTAAAGTTTGAGACAGAGTTTCGCTCTTGTTACCCAGGCTGGAGTGCAATGGCGCGATCTCGGCTCACCGCAACCTCCGCCTCCTGGGTTCAGGTAATTCTCCTCCCTCAGCCTCCTGAGAAGCTGGGATTACAGGCATGTGCCACCGTGCCCAGCTACTGTTTTGTATTTTCAGTACAGACGGGGTTTCACCATGTTGACCAGGATGGTCTCGATCTCTTGACCTCGTGATCCACCCGCCTCGGCCTCCCAAAGTGCTGGGATTACAGGCTTGAGCCACCGCGCCCGGCCTGAACTTTAAAGTTTTAATCCCTGAAAACAAAAGATGGAATCTGTTGCTGTTGTTGTTGTTGAAATAGAGTCTCCCTCTGCTGCCCAGGCCTGAGTGCAGTGGCACGATCCTGGCTCACTGCAACCTTTACCACCTGGGTTCAAGCAATTCTCCTGCCTCAGCCTCCTGAGTAGCTGGGATTACAAATGCCTGCCACCATGCCTGGCTAATTTTTGTACTTTTAGTAGAGATGAGTTTTCAACATGTTGGCCAGGCTAGTCTCAAACTCCTGGCCTCAGGTGACCCACCAACCTCTGCGTCCCCGGTTCAAAGTGCTGGGATTACAAGCATGAGCCACCGCACCTAGCCAAAATATGGAATCTTAATGAGTTGTAGTGGGAGTTCCTCTTTTTTTTTGGTCTGAGACACAGTCTTGCTCTGTCACCCAGGGTGGAGTGCAGTGGCATGATCTCAGTTCACTGCAACCTCTGCCTCCCGGGTTCAAGTGAGTCCCCTGCCTCAGCTTCCCGAGTAGCTGGAACTATAGGTACATGCCACCACGCCCAGCGAGTTTTGTGTGTGTGTGTGTGTATTTTTAGTAGAGACAGGGTTTCACCATATTGGCCAGGCTGGTCTTGAACTCCTGACCTCGTGATCTGCCTGCTCACCTTGGCCTCTCAAAGTGCTGGGATTATAGGCGTGAGCCACCGTGCCTGGCTTGGGAGTTCCTTTATCTTCCTTCCTTGATGTTCACTCCACCTTAGCTCTCTTCCTTCGTGTATTTGCTCTTTGTCCCATTTCCACCTTCCCGCACTCCCTTTTTTCCTTCCCCATCTTTATATTAAGGAATAGTCTCAGGAGCAGCACATGGGAGGGAAAGAGCTCCACAGGGCCCCGAATTCCGTGGCTGGGTCAGCATCCTCACAGCACACACTGCTGGGCAGGCAGAGCACTTTGAGGTGAGGCCGGGCACAGTGGCCCGCGCCTGTAACGGCAGCACTGTGAGAGGCCGAGGTGGGAGGATTGCTTGAGGCTGGGAGTTCGAGACCAGCCTGGGCAACATGATGAAAACCCATCTCTACTAAAAATACAAAAAAAAAAAAAAAAAAAAAATGCCGGGCGCAGTGGCTCAAGCCTGTAATCCCAGCACTTTGGGAGGCCGAGGCGGGTGGATCACGAGGTCAAGAGATCGAGACCATCCTGGTCAACATGGTGAAACCCCGTCTCTACTAAAAATACAAAAAATTAGCTGGGCATGGTGGTGCGTGCCTGTAATCCCAGCTTCTCAGGAGACTGAGGCAGGAGAATTGCCTGAACCCAGGAGGCGGAGGTTGCGGTGAGCCGAGATCGCGCCATTGCACTCCAGCCTGGGTAACAAGAGTGAAACTCCGTCTCAAAAAAAAAAAAAAAAAAAAAAAAAATTTAACTGGGAATGGTGGAGGGTGCCTGTAATCCCAGCTACTCAGGAGGCTGAGACAGGAGAATCGCTTGACCCAGGCCTGGGGGGAGCGGGGCAGAGGCTGCAGTGAGCCCGGATCATGCCACTGCACTCTAGCTTGGGCCACACAGTGAGACTCCATCTCAAAGAAAAACAAACAAAACCCTAGCCTCTAGATTTTCAGGGAGGCTGGTTCAAGTAATAATGAAACTCTGGTCTCCCACATACCTGGTTCAGTGTGTATTAAACTCTTTCTTGCAATTTCTTTGTCTTGATGAATGGGCTTCATCTGGGCAGCCGCCAAGAGGAACCCGTTACGACAGTTACATCAGCATGAAAAATAATTTATAGAGCTGAGGAAGCAGAGTGCTAGCAGCCAGTGAGGCAGAACTCTGGCAGGACACAAGATACTGTCAGAAGAATTACAGCAGTTCATGCTGAAAGACATGAGCAGACATCACATCCATGGCACAGAAGCAGGAGGCTGTGCAAACGCCATGTTCTGAGGACGAGAGAAATGTTTTTTAAATTTGAAACTGGGTCTCACTGTGTTGCCCAGGCTAGTCTCAAACTCCTGGGCTCAAGCGATCCTCCAGCCTCAGCCTCCCAAACTGCTGGGATTACAGGCCTGAGCTACCGTGCCTGACTGAGAAAGAATTATTGAGAGTGAAATCACTAACACCAAGAAAAACCGAAACACGCCAGGCATGGGGGTTCACACATACAATCCCAGCACTTTGGGAGGCCAAGGTGGGTAGATCACTTGAGGCCAGGAGTTCGAGACCAGCCTGGTCAACATGGTGAGGACCCCGTCTCTACTAAAAATACAAAAATTAGCCAGGCGTGGTGGACGCCTGTAGTCCCAGCTACTCAGGTGGCTGCGGCAGGAGAATCCCTCAAACTCAGGAAGCAGAGGTTGCAGTGAGCCGAGATTGCGCCACTGCACTCCAGCCTGGGTGACAGAGAGAGACTCCATCTCACAAAAAACAAAGCAAATAACCAAAACGCGAATAGATGCAAAGACTGGTAGAAGGAATCTGGTGCTGGTGGATTCATAATTTTGAAGAACAGCCTAGAAATTATCCAAGGATTAGTACAACAGAAAGGCAAAGGAGGGCAGGATGCAGTGGCTCACGCCTGTAATCCCAGCACTTTGAGAGGCCAAGGCAGGTTGATCATGAGGTCAGGAGTTCGAGACCAGGCTGACCAACATGGTGAAACCCCATTTCTGCTAAAAATACAAAAATTAGCCAGGCATGGTGGCGCATGCCTGTAATCCCAGCTACTTGGGAGGCTAAGGCAGGAGAATCACCTGAATCCGGGAGGCAGAGTTTGCAGTGAGCTGAGATTGTGCCACTTTACTCCAGCCTGGGTGACAGAGTGAGACTCTGTCTCAAAAAAAAAAGAGAAGAAAAAAGGCAAAGGAGTGGAAATTGTGAAAAGGAAGTGTTTTTTTAAGAGAGTCTCACTCCGTCGTCCAGGCTGGAGTGCAGTGGTGTGATCTCTGCCCACTGCAAACTCCGCTTCCCAGGATCAAGTGATTCTCCTGCCTCAGCCTCCCTAGTAGCTGAGACTACAGGTGCGCACCACCATACCTAGCTAATCTTGTATTTTTAGTAGAGACAATGTTTTCACCATATTGGTCAGGCTGGTCTCGAACTTCTGACCTCATGATCCACCCGCCTCGGCCTCCCAAAGGGCTGAGATTACAGGCATGAGCCACTGAGCCTGGCCGAAAAGGAAGATTTTTTTTTTTTTTTTTTTTTTTAGATGGGGTTTCACCATGTTGGTCAGGCTGGTCTTGAACTCCTGACCTCAGGTGATCCGTCTGCCTTGGCCTCCAAAGTGCTTGGATTGCAGGTGTGAGCCACGGCGCCCGGCCAGGAAGATTTTTTTTTTTAAGAGCAGTGATATTGCAAGTAATGAAGAAATGAGGTTCACAAAAAGAAAAAACAATCTCTGATTTAAAAAAAGACAACAACACAGTTCTTCAAAATCACACAAACCCTTACCTGTCACCAATATCTCAGGCTGATCACTGGGTTCCGAGGCCCAGAAAGGAGGCTTTGCCTGGTAGTACACGCAGCTGCAGTTCCCCACGTTGCCGGCTGTCACGCCCTCGAGGGTGAAGTTCATCTCCCCCGCTGGACTCCACAGCTGGATGGGCAAAGATGACCCTGCCTTCAGCAGAGCGAACATCATAGGCGCCAACAGTTGGTCTGGCTTTCGGCACTGCAGAGTCACCCTTCCACCTGCGGTCACCATACCTCTTTGGTAGGTGTGCAGTAAAGGTTTAGATAAATGTCCTGTAGGAGAAGTCAGGCTCTGAGGTCCTGGGGAGAAGTCTAGAATCCTCCACCTACCTCCATTCTCTTGGCAGGAGGCTCTCATGGAGTATGGAAAATGAGAGATTCCTCATTTCTCCGACCTTCCTTCACTTTCTACTCCGGCTCCCTCCTACAAGACCTGTATAAGGCTGAGCACAGTGGCTTACACCTGTAATCCCAGCACTTAGGGAGGCCAAGGTAGGTGAATCACCTGAGGTCAGGAGTTCAAGACCAGCCTGGCCAACATGGTGAAACTCCCATCTCTGCTTAAAATAACAAAAATTAGGCTGGGTGCGGTGGCTTATGCCTGTAATCCCAGCACTTGGGAGGCCAAGGCGGGCGGATCAAGAGGTCAGGAGATCGAGGCCAACATAATGAAACCCCGTCTCTACTAAAAATAAAAAAGTTAGTTGGGTGTGGTGGCATGTGCCTGTAGTCCCAGCTGCTTGGGAGGCTGAGGAAGGAGAATCGCTTGAACCTGGGAGGCGGAGGCTGCCGTGAGCCGAGACCGCAACATTGCACTCCAGCCTAGCAACAGAGCAAGACTCCATCTCAAAAAATAATAATACTACAAAAATTAGCCGGGTGTTGTGGTGCACACCTGTAACCCCAGCTGCTCAGGAGGCTGAGGCAGGAGAATCACTTGAACCCAGGAGGCAGAAGTTGCAGTGAGCCGAGATTGTGCCACTGCGCTCCAGCCTGGGCAACAGACTATAAAACCAAGGTATGCAATTTTGTTCCTGTCTCTCTCCCTCTCCCTCCGCCCCCAGCTACTCTGGAGGTGGGCTCCGTTTCTCCCTCTCTTCCTCCGCTTCCTCCCTCATCCCGTCCCCCATAGGTCGTTGGAAGGCATCCTGTCTGCACCTGTCACCAACAGTAGAAGGACATCACTGTGCTGTGAATGTACGTGGGGGGGATGCTTTTCTGTAGTACTCACAGGTGTACTCACCAGCATTTCCAACTTTTAAGTTATGGAGGTGAAATTCGGGCGGGCCCTCTGTAGAATCAAGGGACATCAGGGACTCCAGAACAGTTCCTGCCTTCCTGAGAGCAAAGCTTACAAGCCTGGCAGGAGTCCAGCGTCGCATCATCACGTTGCTGTTGGCAGGGACCACTGAGCTGGGCCAGGCACCAAGGGAGGGCTTGGGCAGTGACCCTGGAAGGAAGCAGAGCCCAGGGCTGGACCTGACGCCCTCCCCTGCTCTCGGGAAGCCCTTTTAAATTTTTATTTATTTATTTATTTTTGAGACGGAGTCTCCCTCTGTCGCCCAGGCTGGACTGCAGTGGTGCGATCTTGGCTCACTGCAACCTCCGTCTCATGGGTTCAAGTGATTCTCCTGCCTCAGCCTCCTGAGTAGCTGGGTTTACAGGTGGGCACCACCACGCCCAGCTAATTTTTGTATTTTTAGTAGAGACAGCGTTTTACCCTGTTGGCCATGCTATCTGGAACTTCTGACCTCAGGTGATCCACCCGCCTCAGCCTCCCAAAGTTCTGGGATTACAGGTGTGAGCCACCGCCCCTGGCCAGGAAGCCCATTCATTCATTCATTCATTCATTCATTCATTCATTCATTTATTTATTTATTTATTTATTTATAAGATGGGGTTTCACCATGATGGCCAGGCTGGTCTTGAACTCCTGACCTCAGGTGATCCACCCACCCACCTTGGCCTCCCAAAGTGCCAGGATTACAGGCATGAGCCACCACGCCCAGCCCAGGAAGCCCATTTTAAGAAGGGGGCGGAACAGGAGGGGATTTGGGATGACCGGTCAAGGAGGGTGTCGTTGAAGAAACACCATCTCCTCCTGTGTCTCCCTGGCCCACGAACAGTCCTGTAAGAGAATCCTCCGTGAGACAGAAGCCCCCGCCTGGGGCTGCGTCGCCAGCCTGCCCTGACCTCCGGGGACCATCCCAGAGGCTCCTGCTGAGAACAGACCCTTGGAGGTCTCCTTCTCCCCACACTGGACTGTGGCTTCTGGTCAACTTCCAGCTCCTTCCTCATTTCCCGGAGATTCTCCTTGGCTGTCCTGTGTGGCTCTCACCTCCCCCTACTCCAGGCCTTTCCTGGTTCCACATTGTCCACAGACCCTTCTGTTCTCACCTTCCATTTCAAAATGGCACTCAAGGCTGCGTGCTCGCACCTATAATCCCAGCACTTTGGGAGGCCAAGGCAGGCAAATCACTTGAGGTCAGGAGTTTGAGACCAGCCTGGCCAACATGGCAAAACCCCTTCTATTCTAAAAATACAAAAATTAGCCAGGTGTGGTGGTGCATGCCTATGATTCCAGCTACTCGGGAGGCTCTACAAAAAAATATAAATTAGCCAGGCATGGTGGCTTGTGCCTGTAGTCCCAGCTACTTGGGGGGCTAAGGCAGGAGGATAGCTTGAGCCCAGGAGGTCGAGGCTGTGGTGAACTGAGATTGCACCACTGCACTCCAGCTTGGGCAACGAATGAGACCCTGCCTCAAAAAAATAAATGAATAAATAAAAGAAAAGAAACAGCAGTTTCCAGGTTCAGAACCTGACCTAGCAATAGTACATAGTTAGAATCTCCTAACGTTGTTTCCCTTTCATTTTATTTATTTATTTATTTTTGAGACAGAGTTTCGCTATTGTCACCCAGTCTATAATGCAATGGCGTGATCTTGGCTCACTGCAACCTCTGCCTCCCAGGTTCAAGTGATTCTCCTGCCTCGGCCTCCCAAATAGCTGGGATTACAGGTAACCACCACCATGCCTGGCTAATTTTTTTGTATTTGTAGAAGAGACGGGTTTCATGGTGTTGGCCAGGCTGATCTTGAACTCCTGACCTCTGGTGATCCACCCACCTCAGCCTCCCAAAGTGCTGGAATTACAGGCGTGAGCCACCATGCCCAGCCTCAATTTACTTTATAGTTATTTATTTGACACTAAATTTATATTTATGATATTAAGATAAGGTTTCTGTTCTGAATACTTTTACTTTCACACAAAAAGTCAGAGTTGATCCTGAAAAAAAGGGTAAGCCAATGAAGTCCAGGTGGTGGAGTCATTCAGCAAAAATCACCAAGTTGAAACTAGAGGAGTTGAAGTTTGCAGAGCGCTAGTTTCCAGGGAATGTCTGCAGTGCATTCAGCAGGACTTCTCACTCCTTCCGTGCACTATGTAAGCCAAAGTTGATGTTGTTATTTCCTTCCCCAGCCCAACTATCCCACCAGTTCCATGATATTCTGCAGTCCCAGTGGATAGCCCTGAGACTTACTGAAACAGAGAAGGGAAAGCAGCTGAGAGATCATGACAGCTCCTCAGCCCTCCCAGGGTCCCTCATGGGTTCTGCAGTCCACAGAAGGGAGAAGAGCTGGAGTCATCACCGCCTCACTCCCACCCCAGCGTGTGGGCAGTAACAGCCTTGTCCTAGCCTTTCAGTTCCCCCTCCCATATCTACACTCAGGAAAGGTGTTGATGTTGCTGATTGCAACACGCTCCTTACACACCAGTGTTGAAGAACTTGACTCACAGGAAATCCTCCTGTTTCAGGCAGATTTCAGGCATCAAACAGGTAACCCCAAAATGCTTCAGACTTGGCCCCGAAGGGTTTGTATTGAAGAAATGAAAGCACTTCACTCTGTTTGGTTTGGTTTGGTTTGGTTTGGTTTTTGGTTTTTGATTTTTGTTTTGTTTTTGAAATGGAGTCTTGCTCTGTAGCCCAGGCTGGAGTGCAGTGGCACAATCTCGACCCACTGCAAGCTCTGCCTCCCAGGTCCTGGTTCAAGCAATTCTCCTACCTCAGCCTCCCAAGTAGCTGGGATTACAGACACGAGCCACCATGCCCAGCTAATTTTGTATTTTTAATAGAGGTGGGGTTTCTCTATGTTGGTCAGGCTGGTCTTGAACTCCTGACCTCAGGTGACCTGCCCTCCTCAGCCTCCCAAAGTTCTGGGATTACCGGCATGAGCCACTGCACCCGACCTTCATCACCTTTTTTTTTTTTTTTTTTTTTTGAGACGGAGTTTTACTTTTTGACCCAGGCTGGAGTGAAGTGGCATAACCTCATTTCCCTGCAACCTCCGTCCCCCACGTTCAAGTGATTCTCCTGCCTCAGCCTCCTGAGTAGCTGGGATTACAGGCACCCTCCACCACACCCAGTTCATTTTTGTATTTTTTAGTAGAGATGGGCTTTCACCATGTAGGCCAGGCTGGTCTTGAACTCCTGACTTCAAGTGATCCACCCTCCTCAGCCTCCAAAAGAGCTGGGATTACAGACATGAGCCACCGTGCCCAGCCAGTTATGAGCTCATTTATTAAGCTCAGAATATTTCAGTACAGCCGGGCGCGGTGGCTCAAGCCTGTAATCCCAGCACTTTGGGAGGCTGAGAGAGGTGGATCACGAGGTCGAGAGATCGAGACCATCCCGGTCAACATGGTGAAACCCCGTCTCTACTAAAAATAGAAAAAATTAGCTGGGCATGGTGGCACTTGCCTGTAATCCCAGCTACTCAGGAGGCTGAGGCAGGAGAATTGCCTGAACCCAGGAGGCGGAGGTTGCGGTGAGCCGAGATCGCGCCATTGCACTCCAGCCTGGGTAACAAGAGCGAAACTCCGTCTCAAAAAAAAAAAAAAAAAAAAAAAAAAAAGAATATTTCAGTACATATCTATCTTTATCAAATAAGAAACATTTTAAAAATAATGTAAACACCATAACTGTCACGTCAGAAAAGTTAACAGTACTTCTTTGATACCAGCTAATACCCGGTCAGTATTGAAATTTCCCTGATTGTCTCAAAAATGTCATTTCTATCAGGTTTTTAAAAAATAAAGCAGGATCTTATTAAAGTCTACAGACTGTATTTGATAGATATGTTAATTTAGCCAGGTGCAGTGGCTCACGCCTGTAATCCCAGGACTTTGGAAGGCTGAGACAGGTGAATCACCTGAGGTCAATAGTTCAAGACCAGCCCGGCCAACATGGTGAAACCCCCATCTGCACTAAAAATACAAAAATTAGCCTGTGTAGTAGCGTGTGCCTGTAATCCCAGCTACTCGAGAGGCTGAGGCAGGAGAATCGCTTGAACCCAGGAGGCAGAGGTTGCAGGGAGCCAAGATTTTGCCATTGCACTCCAGCCTGGGCCACAGAGTGAGACTCTGTCAAAAAAAAAAAAAAAAAGTTAAATAAGACAAAATTTCTAATTTTTTTTTTTTAAATAAGAAATCAAAGGCTGGGCGCGGTGGCTCATGCCTGTAATCCCAGCACTTTGAGAGGTGGAGGCAGATGGATCACCTGAGGTCGGGAGTTCGAGACCAGCCTGACCATTATCGACCACCCCCCGCACCGTCTCTACTAAAAATACAAAATTAGCTGGGCGTGGTGGTGCATACCTGTAATCCCAGCTACTCCGGAGGCTGAAGCAGGAGAATCTCTTGAACCTGGGAGGCGGAGGTTGTGGTGAGCCAAGATTGCGCCATTGCACTCCAGCCTGGGCATCAAGAGCAAAACTCCATCTCAAAAGCAAAAAGAGAAAAAAGAGATCAAGCAAGTCTTAGGTTTTAACTATGTTTTCGTCATCATGCATTTGGAAGAAAAGCAAAATGCCCCAAAGCTTGTATTTGTTTTTGGATTTTTTGTCTTTATAGCCTCTTCTTACTGTTTTGGAACACAGAAAAGTCAACAAGACAACCAATTATGACGGAGTAAAGCAATTACAATTTCAGGTGCTTCTTTGAAAGTTATTTTCACAAGATGTGGCAATGATTTTTAAAGGCTTGGGACTCTTAACAAGACCCTTTTGTTCAAATAACAGTTCTATGTATGAATTTATTTCAACAGAGAAGAGAACAATTTAGTAACAGTTATGAATATTCATGTAATTCTCCATATTGTACCAGAAAACAAGATTGATATTCTTGGGAATCTCAATTCAACACTTTATCAAATCAGATTCCTTAAATTAGGGTTGTGACTCAGAAAAAATCTTCCTCCTTATGCAGTATCAGGAAAAAGAGGACATCTCCTGTATCTCTATTTAACAACTCTTTTGCTAACAGTGAAGATGTATATTTTAAAACTAGGCTCTGGAATTTTATCAGTCAACAGAAAAGTCCTGGTAAAGTTCCATTCCAGTTGGAAATGAAGGAAGGACTGAGCGAGACTCCGTCTCAAAAAAAAAAAAAAAAAAAAAGAAAGGGAAAGGAAAAGAAAAAAGAAATGAAGAAAGGACTAAATAGGATTTTTTTTAAATTGAGACCCTGATTCAAAAAAATAAAGAATAGCTTAGGGCTGGATGAGGTGGCTCACACCTGTAATCCTAAAATTTTAGGAGGTGAGGTGAGTGGATGGCTTGAGTCCAGGAGTTCAAGATCAGTCTAGATAACGTGGCCTAACCCCATCTTTACAAAAAATACGAAAGTGAGCCAGGCGTGGTGGTACTCACCTGTAATCCCAGCTGCTCATGAGGCTAAGGTGAGAGACGCACTTGAACTTGGAAGGCAGAGGTTGTAGTGAGCAGAAATCACATCATTGCACTCCAGCCTGGGTGACAGAGCAAGACTGTCTCAAAAAAAAAAAGAAGAAAAAAAGAATAGCTTAGTAACATGTTTTTAGATAACTGGGGACTGAGTTTTAAATGATTTTAATAAATAATTAGGCCAAGGCACGGTGGTTCACACCTGTAAACCCAGCACCTTGGGAGGCCAAAATGGGTGGATCACCTGAAGTCAGGAGTTTGAGACCAGCCTGGCCAACAAGGAGAAACCCAGTCTCTACTAGAAATACAAAAATTAGCTGGGTGTGGTGGTGAGCACCTGTAATTCCAGCTACTTGGGAAACTGAGGCAGGAGACTCACTTGAACCCAGGAGGTGGAGGTTGCAGTAAGCTGAGATCACACCATTGCACTCTAGCCTGGGCAACAAGAGTGAAACTCCATCTCAAAAAAATAATAAAAATAATTAAATAAATAATCATTCACTTTGTTAGGTGTTTATCACACCTAACCTTAAGAATATGTTACCAAAATAAAAAGTCTTGTAGATGAAATCATATCATATCTTAAGATTTACTTTAAAATACTCCAGCAGAAAATTTAAAATACACTTAGAGGAGAGGACTTATCTGTAGTTATCTACAGATAATCTACATGATTATCTCAAAGCCATCCTTTTGCTGTTGAGAATGCTGATTTTTAGCTGGGTCCATTGCCACCCAAGTAAAAAACTACATTCTTCAATGTCACTTACAAGTAGATGTAGCTGTAAGTCGTCATCTAGCACAATGATTTTTTTTGGCGGCGGGGGATGGAGTCTGGCTCTGTCACCCAGGCTGGAGTGCAGTGGCACTATCTCGGCTCACCGTAACCTCCAACTCCCTGATTCAAGCAATTCTCATGCCTCAGCCTCCTGAGTAGCTGGGACTACAGGCATGCGCCACCACATCCAGCTTTTTGTATTTTTAGTAGAGACAGCGTTTCACCATGTTGACCAAGATGGTCTCGATCTTCTGACCTCATGATCCGCCCGTCTCGGTCTCCCAAAGTGCTGGGATTATAGGTGTGAGCCACCGCCCAGGCCCGACAATGATATGTAAGCATAAATATTGTAGACAGCTTCCAAAAGAATCTCTCGGCCGGACGCAGTGGCTCAAGCCTGTAATCCCAGCACTTTGGGAGGCCGAGGCGGGTGGATCACAAGGTCAAGAGATCGAGACTGTCCTGGTCAACATGGTGAAACCCCGTCTCTACTAAAAACACACACACAAAAAAATTAGCTGGGCATGGTGGCACACGCCTGTAATCCCAGCTACTCAGGAGGCTGAGGCAGGAGAATTGCCTGAACCCAGGAGGCGGAGGTTGCGGTGAGCCGAGATCACGCCATTGCACTCCAGCCTGGGTAACGAGCGAAACTCAGTATCAAAAAAAAAAAAAAAAAAAAAAATCTCTCATGAAGTACACTTTCCTTCCTTCACTTAATTGCCTAAAATGCAGATGTAATGACTGACACTCTAGCACCTTTTTGTACCATGAAGATGAAGTCCAAGATGGTGGAGGGTGAGCCAGAAGTAACTTAGGTCTATAATGCCTTTTGGAGTCATTGTACCAGCCCTGGACTGCTCACTTCAGATTTATTCTACATAGGGAAGAAATCAACTGGTATTGTTTTTAAGTCATCATTATTTCGTTTTCTCTTTGGTTTAGGTTATCTGTTACTGTGTAACAAACCACCCCAAAACTGAGCAACTTAGAGTAACAATCTTGTTTTTGTTTTTATCATTCCTGATCTGGTGAGATGACTGGGCTCAGCTGAGCA